CTTTTCTTTCTTTTTTTGGGAAAAAAAAACCCCAATGGTTTAATTTTTTGCTTTTGTCTTTGTGGTCACAGGCTAACCCTTCTGAGATGACAGCAGTTTTCTTCACACTTTTGTCTTCTCTTTGTATGACAGCTTCCTTGCCCTCTCTCCCCCGCTTGGCGCTCTCCTTTCTGTCTCTGGTATGTCCAGTCTCCCTTTTGCTAAGCAAGACAGCCAAAGAGGTCATGCAGTATTAATGGGGATACAGATCTCTGATTTTCCCCCTGCTTATCCGTTCTGACACTTTTGACATTTCCTGAAGTGTATGATGTTTGGAGAGGGGGGAAAAACGGCAACTTGGCTTTTGCTGAAAAATTAATTATCTTGGCACTTTCCCCTTTCTCCCCTTTTCCTTCGCCCCTAAAACAATGGGCGTTGTTTGTTTGCTTTTTTGTAAGAGGACAGATCCTTTTGAATGAGGAATAATAATAATAATAATAATAATAATAATAATAATAATAATAATAATAATAATAATAATACGAGTAATAAGAAGATGACAGGAGCATTAATGAGGTCTGCAACAAGGTGACAGGATCTAATTAGGCACCGATTATTTGCTTAGCCTTGCAAAGACCATTAGCGCCTCTCCGGAAAATGTTGCCTTTTGTGCAATTATTGTGACAAGGAAAACTTTGCATCCTAGATTGGGTTTTTCTTTAATCATAACTGAACAGGACTCTGGCTTGCATACTTTGGTTCTCCTGTGGGATTTTTGTTTTCCTTTGGTCCTCTTTAGTTCCTCCGGGGGAATCTATGTGAGTTTTTCCTTGCAAAAAGAAAACACAGCCCCCCAGGAAAGAGTTCTTGTCTTGAAAAGGATATATGGTTTATGGTAAGAGCTGTTCTAGATCAGAATCCATTTTTTAAGTTGCAGGTGGTGGTTGTTATTGTGTGCCTACTTATGGTGACCGTAAGGCAACGCTGTCAAGAGGTTTTCTTGGCAAGATTTGTTCAGAGGAGGGTTGCCTTTGCCTTCCTCCAAGGCTGAGAGAATGTGACAAGCATGGCACTGGACATGTCCAGAGGATCCCTAGAGCCATAGTCCCAAACCCCTTAACTTTTCCAAGCTCTGCTCAAGGGCAACTAACCACTATCCCAGGGTGGGCAAGTGTTTCTTGTGTTTGCCCAGTAGCCTACATAGTGTGTATCAGCATGGCTTAAGTGCCACAAGATCACTTTGGCCACTATTTTGCCCAATTTGGATATAGTTGAGCCAGCGTGGCATAGTGGTTTGAGGTTGGACTAAGAGTCTGGAGACCAGAGTCCGATTCCTAGCTCAGCCATGAAACCTCCTGGGTGACCTTGGGCAAGTGACGCTCTCTCAGCTTCACAGGAAGGCAATGGCAACCCCCCCTGAATAAATCTTGCCATTATCGGTTCTCTGTAAGTCCGAAACCACTTGAAGGCACACATCAGTCAGCAACAACAACAACAACAACAACAACAACAACAACAATAACAACAACTTTCAGGAGGAGTTCAGCAGAGCCAAACTTTGTCCCCCTTAAAGGATTCCACCCCACCCTCCATGAAATCTAACATAAGATGGCTCAGAAAGGGAACACTTATCTGTTCTTTGCATCTGCCTCTCTCTGAATTCTCAGGCTGCATATAACTGCAGAAATAATGTAGTTTGACACTCCCTTAACTGCTGTGGCTTATGCTATGGAATCTTGGGATTTGCAGTTTGCAGTGGCACCAGAGCTCTCTTACAAAGAAGGCTAAATATCACACAAAGCGACAAATCCCAGGATTCCGTAGCATGGAGCTATGACAGTCAAAGCAGTGTCAAAATGCATTAATTCTGCAGTGTGGATGCAGCCTCGGTCCCTTCCATTCTAGCATTGTCCATCTCCACCTGTGTCAGTGAATTCAGTCCAGGTTTCAACCTGGGCTTCAAAGGAATTGTCCAAGGTGCGAAATGTTCTCCAGGACCTTGGAGAGCTCCTACAAAGCCAGAACCCAGAGTAGATTCACTATCTACTAACACCAGCTGGATGACCTAGCCTTTCTTCCCTTTCGTCTTCTCCTTATTCCAGTTTGTGGTGGTGTTAAAAAATATTGCTGAGCTCAGGACCAAGAGCCAAAGCCTTGTGAGGCTCCAGCTCTCATAATTTACCTCTCTTCTTCCTAGAGTTTTATGGTGCTGGATTGATTTACCCAACTAGTTTGTACTGTTGGAGAGGTGATGAATGGCTGGGTTTGGCTGCAGCACTTATTGGCATTCCCAGGCTCAGGATGGTGATGGGGAGACGTAGGCGGTTGGCTTGAGCAGCTGAGTCTCCTGAGAAGAATCACTGCCTCCTTTCACATCATTCATTACTTGAATTTGGATGGCTGTCTGACTTGAGGCTGCTGGGGCATTTGTCAAAGTTTTTCCTGGGGCGTAGAAGGAATCATATAGAATCATAGATTTGGAAGAGACCCCAAAGGCCATCCAGTCCAACCCCAGACTACCAGGCAGGAGGACACAATCCAAGCACTCCTGGCAGATGGCCACCCACCCTCTGTTTAAAACCCCCCAAAGAAAGAGACTCCACCGCTTTCCAAGGCATCATCTCCCACTGTTGAACAACTCTTACTGTCAGGAAGTTCTTCCTAATGTTGAGCTGGAATCTCTTTTCCTGGAGCTTGCATCCATTGCTCTGGGTCCTGTTCTCTGAAGCAGCAGAAAAAAAGCTTGCTCCATCCTCAATATGACACCCCTTCAAATATTTAAACATGGTTATCAAATCCTTAGAGAGCCAGCATGGTGCAGTGATTTGAGTGTTGGACTATGAATCTGGAGACCAGGGAGGTAGGAAGAGAGGAAGGCCCCATGGCAGATGGAGGGACTCTATGAAGGAGGTCACTTTGGGTATTAAGGGGTTGCAGGATTTAAGCTGAGTAGAGTAATGCTGAACGTAAAGAAAACAAAAATAATGACCACTGAGGACCTTTACAAGTTCAGCTTAGACGATGAACAAATAGAAAAATAGTAGAAGAATTCCCAAACCTGGGATCAAACATGGATAGAAATGGGGACTGCAGTCAGGAAATCAGAAGAAGATTAAGAATGGGGAGATGGCTATGAAAGAACTAGAAAAGATCCTAAAATGTATATCTTTGCATATATACATATAAATGTATAACTCAGCACAAAAGTTAAACTCATCCAAGCCATCATATTCCCTATTCCCATGGATGGATGTGAGATCTGGAGAGTTAAGAAAGAAGATAGGAGGAAAATCAATGCATTTGGGAGAATGTGGGGCTGGAGAAGAGTGCTCAGGATCCCATGGACAGAGAGCCAAAAGGACAAACAAAGGGATCCTAGAACAGATCAAGCTGGAAACCACCTTGGAAGAAGCCAAGATGACCAAACTGAGGCTGTCATACTTTGGACACATCATGAGAAGGGAAGACTCTTTAGAAAAGACAATAATGCTGGGGAAGATGGAAGGAGGCAGGAAGAGAGGAAGGCCATATGCCAGATGGAGGTCCCTATGGGTTTTAAGGGGATGCAGGATTTAAGCAGAACAGGGGAGGACAGAGGATCCTCTTGGAGAGGTCTCATCCATAGGGCCGCCATGGGTCCAGATCGACTGGAGGGCAATTAACAACAACAAATAGCCTTTGATGCCTGTTCATTTGTTTGTTCTTCTGTACTGTTAAATAAACTTCACTCGAACATTATAGACCTTGTAAATGCTTTCTGATCGTTCCTTAAACCCACAGGTTAATGAATGGCTACCACAGATGCTGGGTATCATATGAGTGCAAGGACTAAATAATTTCGAAAAGGCCGTTGAACGTATCTTTGATCCAGTGCCCAGAGAGGAGGTGATGGTCTTGCTTTAATCACTTAATGACATTTTAACAAGTAGCAAGCTGGAATAGATTTAAAGCAGGAGCTACGGAAACGTGCAATTGATGGAGTATTCAATTGGATTAAAAGAACCAGAGGGGCAATAGAAACCAGAGTAATGGCAGAAGGCTTGGCAGCAGACAGATACTGCTACTGAACAGAGAAGGATGGAGTCTGGGCTACTTGTGCATACACTTTGACAGAGCCTGGGAAAGTTACTTTTTTGAATCCCTACTGCCAGAATCTGAGAGCCAGCATGGTGTAGTGGTTTGAGTGTTGGACTATGACTCTGGAGACCAAGGTTCGATTCACAGCTCTGCCATGAAACCCATTGGATGACCTTGCACAAGTCACATTATCCATTGTATTTAATAGGAACTGAACGTCCATGGATTTGGTATCCATGCGGATTCTTGGAACCAATTCCCAGCAGATACCAAGGGTTTGCTGTATACTGTTGTCCCTGGGAGTGAACTAAAAAATTCTAAACCCCTCACCAAACTACAAGTCCCAAAGGATGGCAAAGTCATTGCAAAGTGTCATCATACCGCTATAATTTTGCAGCGTAGATATTGCCCACGACTCGCTTCCAGTCCCTTAAACTTGATTTAAATCCATGGTTTCTATGTTCTGGGTTGACTTACTCATTAGTATCCTCCCGGAGCAATGAAAGCAACTCTGTCAAAATAGGGTCACAAAAGCAAAAAGTGCGGTGTTTCCACCCCTCCTGAACTCGCTGCTCTTTCAGCAATTCTGTTCTCTCCTGGCTGCCATTATAGTTAATGAGGGTGGTGCACACACTTCGAGTTTAGCCTCTGAAATCTGTTTCGCTGCAGGCAGCTCAGCAAGGAATCCCAGGAGCTAGAGAGTGGTTCGAAGTTGCAAGCGATCCAGCTGCGTCTGCTTGATAGTGCATGGCAGCGAAATGTGTTTCGGAGCCTCTTACTTCAGAAAGAAGCCAGAGGAGATAATTCGGAGACAAATGCAGAAAAGAAAGATGACGGGGCTCGGTTGATGCTGTGTGTTTTTGAAAAAGTGGTCTCCTTCGATGGAAGAAATCTTAACTGTCTGACCCAAGGAGGTTAGAATTGGCAGGGACCAAGAAGGAAAAGGAACTAGCATGGCGTAGTGGTTTGAGCATTGGACTATGACTCCGAAGGCCAGGGTTCAAATCCAAGGTCGGCCATGGAAACCCACTGGGTGACTTTGGACAAGTCACGTTCTCTCAGCCTTGGAGGATTTCCTCTGATTTCACTTTTGAAGCCTCCTGTGATAAAGGCCACAGAGGTCTTTGGGGGTAAATAAGACAAATTGCATGCTATGGTTTATTAGGCAAGGGACTGAAAGTACAAACCATACGAATCTTGGCCTGCATCACTTTTAAGGCAAGTGTGGAGGGCATAGCTGGAGTTTGCAAAACAGGGCACGGTGCAGCAACTATGGCTAGAAAGACGTTCTCCTGTGCCCATAATGTTTGAACGGAGGGATCCCCAGCAAAACCAATTAGCAGTAAACTCAGGAAGGAAGAAGTTAAGTACCATTTTTGGGCAGCGCATCATTAACTTATGGAATTTGCTGTCACAAGATACGGTGAGGGCAGCTGGCCGGAATGGATGGCTTTTGAGAGCATCAGGCACATATTCCTCCGGGATAAATCTTCCCCAAGTGAGAGAATCAACAGAGCTATGAATTTTTGGTGGCTATGAGCTTTCAGTCCAGGACCTCTCCTGCTAGGATTTTCTGGGCAAGATTTCTTTGGAGGACGTTGGGCACCCTTGCCTTTCTCTGAGGCTGAGAGCATGTGACTGGACCCAAGGTCTCACCCCCTGGGCTTCTATGGCTGAACAGAGTTTGGAAACCTAGTCTCCTGGAGGCCCAGTCCAACATTCAAACAACTACAGCATGCAAAATAATTCATTTTCTTGTTATCTGTCTTCAGGTCAACTCTGAGTGATAACAATCCTGTCCTAAGATTTCCTTTGAAAGGTGTCTTCAGAGGAAGTTTACCATTGCCTCATTCTTTGGAAGCTGAGAAAGTGTGACATGTCCAAGGTCTCACCCAGTGGGTTTATATGACTGAGCAAGGATTTGCACCCAGGTCTCCCTGAATCCTAGTCCTACTCAAACCATTGTACCACACCGGATCTTAAAAAAATAGGGTTTTTTTTGGGGGGGGGGAGAGATTTCTTCAGAGAAGGTTTACCATTGCCTTCCTCTCAAGCTGAGAGAGTGTGACTTACCCAAGGTCACTCAATGGATTTCCAGGGCTGAATGAACCCTGGTCTTTCAGAGTCCTAGCCCCGTGCTAATGTTACTGAATCCCATTGTGGGAGAAAGGCAGGCTATAAATTCCTTGATGAAATAAATAAATTATTATCTCATCTTTGAATACCAGTTGCATTTTGAGGAAGGGAGAGATAAAGAAGACTGTCAAGAGAGGATTGTTGTCTTCATGGCCTGTTTACGAGCATCCTAAAGGCATCTGCTTAACCACCGTGGAAGGCAAGATGCTGGGTTAGATGCTGTTTTTGGTTTGATCAGCAGTGCTGTGCTTAAATTCATTAACACCAGGGCGTTCAGTGGCCTAATTTGCATGCATTTGCATGGGAGGGATAAACAATAGTTCCAAAGGGGGAAAGGCTGGAGATCTCCCAATTTAAGTAGGCTGAAGTCTAGGAAAGCTCAGGCTCCCAATTTCTTTCTTTCAGTTCGTCTCAAAGGTGCTACAAGATCTCTCTACATTCTGGACATTTTTGTCCTATATGGATTGGGAAGTCAGGTACCTCTTTCAGGATCCCTTACAAATCTTACAAATAGACTTATTAAAGTATTCCTTTAAAAAAAATCTCCCTTTTCCATAATTGCCAAAATGGAAACTGTTTTTTTATAAACTAAATGGGTGTAGGCAACCGTGTTGGACCAGTTCTCTACCACTGGGACCTTTTGTAGTTTTTTTGGGGGTACATACATCGCCAAAAATGCCCCAAATACAAAGAAAACACGAAAAGGGTTGGAAACAATAACAGGAACCTATCTCTGTTCTTTCCCTTTTATTTGATACCTCTGGTACCAAATATTCTGTGAATACATCTATTTGCCTGGGAAGACATCTGCAGTCAGCCCTCCGTGTTTGTGGCTTGGATTTTTGCAGATTTGGTTATTCATGGGTTTGAGTAATATAATAAATAATAATAATAATAAAATAATTTATTTGTATCCCACCTTCCTGTGCAACATAATATGTTCTCTCTAGGAATCTCTAGGTCCTCCATTGCAACTCTACTGGAAGTTGACCATTGAGTTGCAATGGCGGATTTAGATATTTCTAAAGAAAATACCTCTCTAGGCATTTGTAAGCCCTCCAGCATGATGAATGTTGACCACAGAGTTGCACTGGAGGACCTAGAGATTCCTAGAAAGGTGTTATCTCAGATATAAAAATTGTGGGGTTTTTTATTTGCGGTTTTTCCGCTTTCATGGGGTTCCTTCACTCCTAACCCCAGTGAATGTGGAGGGACCATCGTACAGTAAATTTCAACCATACTCATAGTAAAAACATCCATATGTTATTTTGATTGTGTCTCATGCTGAATAGTTTTTCTCCTTGAGTTCAATAGTTCTGAAATCCTTGACTGACTTGGAGATAGTTCCATTAGCCGAAAATCGAGGGGAACCTATCAGTTGTTCCGCAGCAGCGCCGAAGTTCTCTCTCTGCTAGAGATCCTTTATGCTTTGTGTTGGCTGTGAGATTAAAAGGAAGGTTTTGTGATGGCGGTAGAGTGGGTTTTCTGTTTTCTTTTTTTGCATCTGCTGTTTATATTGTCAAGTCGGAGGAGCCCCAGGCTGCTGATAAAGTTGCCTGTGCAAAGCCGATAGCTCTAAGCAGGGATATGTTGCAAATCGAAAAGAAAGAACCGTACCATTCATTTTCTTGAAAGAGTCACAGGATTCTAAAATAGCTCTCAGTGTGTGTTTGTGTGTGCTTCTTGGGGTTAAATGATGAGGAGATGTTCTTTTTCGGTGCTGTTGAGTCTTCTATCTCCCTCCTAGCTAAAGTCAAAACATGTTGCTTTTGACTCAGGATGCATCGACACACACTGTAGAAATAATGCAGTTTGACACCACTTTAAGTGCTGCAGCTCCATCCTACAGAATTGTACTTTGGACAAAGTATAGAATTTTAATTTGGACGTATCATGAGAAAATAGAACTAGAAAAGGCAATGCTTGGTAAGGTAGAAAGCAGCAGAAAAAGAGGAAGACTGCCTTCCAGATGGATGGACTCCCATCGTGGCTTTGCAAGACTTGAGCAGAGTGTTGGAGGATAGGGTGGCTTCTCCTGCGGTGGATCCACATTGCAGAATTAAAGCAGTTTAACAATACTTCAGCTGCCATGACACCATCCTACAGAATCCTGAGATGTATAGTTTGGTGAGGTACCAAACTCACCCAACTGCAAAGTTTGCAAACTGCAAAAAAGAGCCAGTGTGGTATAGTGGTTTGAGTGCTGGACTACGACTCTGGAGACCAGGGTTCGAATTGTGGCTTGGCCACCTAAACCCACTGGGTGACCTTGGGCAAGGCACACTCTCTCAGCCTCTGGGAATGGCAGTGGCAACTTCTCTCTGAAGAAACTTGCCAAGAAAACCCCAGGATAGGGTCACCATAAGTCAGACATGACTTGAAGGCACCCAACACCTTCAGCGAGGTGCCAGAGCACTCTGACAGACTAGGCTGAATGTTTCACCAAACTACAAATCCCAGGATTCGGTAGGATAAGGGTCATGGCAATAAAAGTGGGGTCAGACTGCTCCAGTTCTGCAGTGTGGATAAACTGTTGGAGGCCTTTCATTCCTAGGATTGCCATAAGTCAAAATGGACTTGACAGCAGTTAACAGCAAAGAAGAAGGATGCTTGTTGCAAGAGGTTTCTTGTGATGGCCACTTTTAAAGCTTCATTTTTTTCTCCCTTCCCCCTATGTTTGGAAACTGGCTTTGAAAGTCCCTGCTTGCTGACCAAAAGCCACAGACTGAAACCATTAGCCTGGCATTTAGCTAGAAAGGGCTATCCATTTTCCTCTTGACAGACAGCTTGCAAGCAGTTAGCGGCCACATGGGTTGGTGGCTCTGGCAAATTCCTTGGAGGATTAGGCCCCCGATAACATCTTTTCTTGCCTGTTTGGATTTCCAGGTAGATAAAACATTCAGTGGAATTAAAAGCGCCGCTCAAATCTTGAAAAAACCAGGCTGAGATTTTTATCTTGCTTGGAGAGGAGGGGGACTGGATTAATATAGGGCTGGGATTGTTTTACTCTTGGAGCCCTGCTAAGTATTTAATAGGCGGTCTTGGACTTTTTGAGTAGTGGAATAGCTTTTGCCGGAAACCTTTCCTCTAAACATTGATGTGCCTTCAGGGAATGGAGAGCCGGAGTGTTAAAAGGAGCCTGGGTTCTGTTTCATTTCTTCTCTGGCTGTTGTTGCAAATCACCGATTCTCATAGTGAAAGGGCTGTTTCCGGTAGCATGGTGGCTTCTGCTGAGCATCCAAAAAATGGAAAGAAGAAATCGGATGTCCTAGAAATGAGTAGCATGGATGTTTCTCCATTCACTGGCTCACCATTGATGGAATAGATGCCTCTGTAGGATGCAAACTTTGCAATAAAGCCTAGGCAATATGCAGCTGACGTTTCCATTCAAGAAATGCCTGAACATGCTTGCAGAATTCAGAGACGAAGCCATGTTAGTCTGGAATGTTGTTGTTGTTGTTGTTGTGTGGCTTCAAGTCATTTCCAACGTATGGTGACCCTAAAGGGGTTGTCTAGGCAAGATTTATTCAGAGGAGGTTAGCCATTGTCTTCCCCAGAGGCTAAAAAAGTAGGACTTGGCCAAGGCCATCCAGTGGGTTTCCATGGCTGAGTGAGGATTTGAACCCTGGTCTCGTCCAATACTCAAACCAATACACCATTCTTGCTCTCTCGTAGTCTGATACTGATAGCCTGAGATATCAGTATGCAGAAGGATCCTGTAGCCTGGATTTAGCTATGTTGTCACAGGTTTGTTGTCATGCACTATGCAAGCTATGTTTTAGACTTTTTGGCATCTTTCTCGGTGGTTGCACCAACTTTCCTCTTCGATTTCAGCCCTTGTTAGCAGCATCCGTAAGGCTTAAAAATATTTATAAATCAGTTC